GGTATGCAAATCCGGTGGTGGTGGAGGAGGATGGCCGGAGTTTAGAAGGTTGGAAGTGGCCGCTCCATTGTTTTGGCAGAAGAGGCTGGAAATTGGAAAATGGGCTGTTTCCCATGTTTTCAAGTTTTTTCGTGGTTTGGCAGAAAACGTCCAAAATAATGTTTTTTTCGTTTTGTGTTTTGTGTACAATTTTTTTTTGCGTTTTCAAAAACGTATATTCGAAAATAGTAAAGAGAACGCGTTTTCACTGTTTTGGAAAATCGAAAACAGAAAACGACCTAAAACGGCCAAAGAGAATAGCCCCTAAGACTCCGATAGTTCGAGACTTTATTAGCAGAATGTTTATTCCCCATTTCGCCAGATGCTTATCCCTGGCTGGAGACCTCATTCCTTGAAAAAGGAAGAGGCGATAATATAAGACCTCGTTCCTTGACAAAGGAAGATGCGATTATCCTGAGTTCTTATTCCTTGAAAGAGGAAAAGGCGATAATACAAGACCTCGTTCCTTGAAAAAGGAAGAGGCGATTATCCTAAGTCCTTATTCCTTGAAAAGGAAGACGCAATAATACAAGACCTGCGATTATCCTAAGTTCTTATTCCTTGAAAGAGGAAGAGGCAATAATACAAGACCTCGTTCCTTGAAAAAGGAAGAGGCACTATTTTGAAGACGTCTTTCCTTGAAAAAGGAAGAGGTGATCACTTGAAGACCTCTTTCTTTGAAAAAGGAAAAGACACTATTCTGAAGACGTCATTCCTCAAAAAAGGAAGATGCACTAAAAGACCTCTTCCCTTGAAAAATGGAAGAAGCACTATCTTGAAGACCTCATTCCCAAAGGAAGAAGCCTTCACGTGGATGAACCATCCACCATGTAAGGAAGCGTGCACAAGAACACGCCTTCCTTCGACGAGGCTGAATGTTAAAGAAGGAGCCTTTACATGGATGAACCATCCACCATGTGAAGAAGTGTGCACCAGCACATGCCTTTTTTCGACGAGGTTGAACGTCTAGGAAGAAGCCTTTACATGGATGAACCATCTACCATGTGAGGAAGCGTGCCCCAGCACATGCCTTCCTTCTACGAGGCCCAACGTCAAGGAAGAAGCCTTCGCATGGATGAACCATCCACCATCGGTCG